GATCATTTGTATGTCTTCCTTGGAGAATTGCTTGTTTAGGTCTTCTGCCCATTTTTGGATTGGGTTGTTTGTTTTTTTCTTATTAAGTCATATGAGCTGCTTATATATTCTGGAGATCAAGCCTTTGTCAGTTTCATTTGCAAAAATTTTCTCCCATTCCATAGGTTATCTTTTTGTTTTACTTTTGGTTTCCTTTGCTGTGCAGAAGCTTGTAAGTTTCATTAGGGCCCATTTGTTTATTCTTGCTTTTATTTCCATTGCTTGAGTGGACTGTTGTAGGAGAACATTTTTGGGATGTATGTCAGATAATGTTTTGCCTATATTTTCTTCTAGGAGGTTTATTGTATCTTGTCTTATGTTTAAGTTTTTGATCCATCTTGAGCTGATTTTTGTGTATGGTGTAAAGGAGTGTTCTAGCTTCATTACTTTACATGCTGCTGTCCAGTTTTCCCAACACCATTTGCTGAAGAGACTGAAGAATTAATCTTTTGTACTAAAAGTGTATTGTGTTTTTTACCAAAAGGTATCAAAAGAATTACTACAGGCAGACCTCAGAGATGCTGCAGATTCAATTCCAGAGCACAGCAATAAAGCAAATGCCACCGTAAAGCAAGGCACACAAATTTTTTGGTTTCCCAGTGCATATAAAAGTTATGTTTACACTATAGTCTAGTTTATTAAGTATGTGATAGCATTACTTCTAAAAAACAATGTGCACACCTTAATTATAAAATACTTAATTGCTAAAAAGTGCTAACCATCATCTGAGCCTTCAGTGAGTCGTAGTAGTAAGGGCAAAGATCAGTGATCACATATCACCATAACAAACATGATAATAATGAAAAATTTGAAATTTTTGCAAGAATTACCACAGTATGACATAGAGACATTAAGTGAGCAAATGCTACTGGAAGAATGGAAAATGGTGCCAATAGACTTGGTCAATGCAGGGTCGCCACAGACTTTCAGTTTACAGAAGAAAAACTAGTTCAGTATCTGTGAAGTGCAATAAAATAAGATATGTCTGTAGATACCTCCGTCTACCAGCGTGGTGTACATTTTCATATTATGTCATGTTTTTAATTAGTATTCTTGCATTTTAGCTTGACGAACTCCTTTCAACATTTCTTATTAAGCAGGACTAGTGGTGATGAATTTCCTCAGCTTTTGTTTAAGAAAATCTTTCATTCTTCTTCATTTCTGGAAGACAGCCTCTCTGGATCAGTATTCTTGGTTGGCAGGTTTTTTTTTTTTCCTTCCTTTCAGCATTTTCAATATATCAACCCACTCTCTTCTCACCTGTGAGGTTTCTGCTGAGAAATCCCCTGATACCTGTCTTGGGGGAGGGTCCCTTATAAGTGATAGCTTTTTTTTCTCTTATTGCCTTTAAGAGTCTCTCTTTGTCTTTGATTTTTGACAGTTTTACTGTAATGTGCCTCAGAGAAGATTTTCTTAGTTGAATTTGTTTGGGGACCCTTGAACTCTACAAACTTGGATGGCCAAATCTCTCTCCAGATTAGGGAAATTCTCAGCCATTATTTCTTTCACTGAGCTTCCTCTTCCTTCCTTTCTTCTCCTTCTGGGACTCCAGTAATTCTCAGATTGCTTTTCTTGTTAATACCCCACAGTTCATGTAGGTTTTCTTCACTCTTTGTCATTCTTTTTTCTTTGTTCTATGATTGGGTAATTTCAAAGTTCCTGATGTCACTTCAGATAACACAGTTTAGACATAATTGTGTGTGTTCTACTTATTGAAGACCAAGCTGAAAAGAGAAGATTTAACTGCTGCCTAATGGAATATTACTCAGCCATAAAAAAGAATAAAGTAGTACCATTTGCAGCAACATGGATGGACCTGGAGATCATTATTCTAAGTGAAGCAAGCCAGAAAAAGAAAGAAAAATGCCATATGATATCCCTCATATGTGGAGTATTTAAAAAAAGAAGAAGAAGAAGAAAGAAGACAGTAATAAACTTCTCTACAAAACAGAAACAGATTTACAGACATGTAAACAATCTTATGGTTACTGGGAGGGAAGGGGATGGGAAGGGATAAACTGGGAGTTCAAATTTACTACTCAAACTACATATATTAACTACTATATATAAAAATAGATTTTAAAAAAACAAGTTTTTCTGTATAGCACAGGAAACTATAATCAATGTCTTGTAGTAATCTATAATGAAAAAGAATACGAAAACAAACATAGGTATGTATATGTATGTCTGAAACATTATGCTGTACACCAGAAATTGACACATTGTAACTGAGTATACTTCAAGTTAAGCAAAAAATAGGATTCAATTGCTGTCTGCCAAACAACACACACTTAAAAAAAGTTATAGAAAGTGATGAGCCATTGTCTGAATAAATACCATCTGTAGGTTGTGCCATTTGTCGTTTCAACTTACAAAGAAAAGTTTTTGATTTGTTTTGTCTTCCAGACCTCCTTCAGCAGAAAATAACTTATACAGACTAGTTGAATTTAGAACATGTTGGGTAATTTTTGAGAAATCATCCTTAACTGTTCCACTTACAATGAACTGATTTTTAGGACTTAGAGGTGTAAATTTGCTGGGAGGATTCTGGAGACACTCTCAAAACTCAAAATCAGAAAGCGCATGACCCCCCAGGACCCAGCGGCCGACCTGAGGGTCCCTCCACGTCTCACTGCGCTCTCCGAGTCAGCCTCACTCTGCTTTCCCATTTGCAGACTAGCTGTCTCCTCCTCCCTAGAACACAGAGGGGAAGTGGTCCCCTGGAGGCATCCCCAACTTTTCCTCTCACAATCCCTATCCCCAAGAGATGGTTTCTTCTCCTCATGCCACTTGTAAAATTCCTGGGAAACAACTCTGTCCTATTTTGGGTCTGGTGGTTATTCCTGGAGCAAGGATTGACCGTGGCCAGGAACAGGGTGGAAAACTGTTGGCCCAGCCAGACCCAAGCAGCTGTAGTGGCAGCCAGACCGTAGCACAGCTGCTCCCCCCAACTTTGAGGACAGGCCCCAAGAAAGGAGTGGAAATGCTATAACAGAATAGACTCCTACACAGACTAATTGGCCAGAGGCCACATTCATTTCACATGACCTCACCTTTAAACTGATAAACCCTAAACACTGTGGTGCAGAAAAAGTCTGGAGTAGAAGCTGTTTAACAATCAGAACTGAGAACCTGTCCCAGTTTGTCCCAGTTCACTTCAGCTTCTCTTTTCCTGCAGTGAAATTGCTCCTTTCCTTCCACATTATTTAAAGAAAGTTGGAGATTAATGAGGCACGATTTTCTCAATATGTAACCTTAAGATAGGAGCTTCCTTTTTAAATATATAGCAGATTTTCTGTATTTGGAAATTACTGTCATTAGTATACAAAGATCAACATGGTGGTTTCTACTCTTGCTCCATGTCTGTGCTTAGGCTCGCCAACTAAAGGCATGCAAAGCACGCACCCTGGTATGGAAGGCTGTCTTCCTACCAAGTGCAAAGGATCAATCCAGCAGCAGAGGCTGTGTGGTCATATGCTGGCAAATGATGGAAACACACAACCGGGCTGCTTGGAGATCTCAAAGAAATTATTGATTTTGAATCTTCGTTCCTTAATTTAGACCATGGGGAGTTGGGGCCAGATTATCTTTCAAGTTGTAGCTAAATCTAAAATCCTGAAGGAGCTTCTGAATGACTCTAACAGTTACTGATGGAAATTTCTTGAGAAATATGTTTTCTGCTTATTACCAGTTAGACCTGACTGACTTAAAAAGCTGCTATTCACCAGGGGGAAAAAAATGAGAACATTAATGCTCTCAAGTTCCCCGAAGAGAGCAGGTCATTTATTAGAGCTTGTCTTCTCTCTGAAAAGTCTCCTAACAGAGCCAAGACGCGAGCCCTCCGCCTTCACGAGAGGGGCTTGTGGTCCAGCCACCTGTGCACACTATAAAAAGCAATCGCTCAGGGAGCCACTTTCCATTCACGTTAAGGGGAGCCGTGCACGGGTTTTCAATCACTGTCCCACGCTGTTCCTGTGGGTGAGAGTGCCCATCAGTGGAGTGAAGCTTCTGCAGTGAGAGGTCCTGGACTGATCTGTCTTACGCAAGGATGCCCCTGTAAGTCACATTTGCCGAAAACAGACCCTTGTGGCATGAAGGTCTATAGAACTTGGCCGGGCAATTCAAGTTGAGGGTGAAAAAGAACAAGAGAGAGAAAGGAGTGAGAACTTGCTGTTTTCTAGCCAGTTGGCAGAGAGAGCGCACGAGCGAGAGGGAGCGCAGGCGCATGCGCGTAGTGCTTGAGACTTTTGCCTGGAGCTGCGCCTCCTCGCAGCACCTCCGCCTGGCGCACGCTGGGTCCCGTTTGGTCATGAGACTCTCAGCTCCCTGCTCTCCTGGAGCTCCTTGCTGTCCTTGCTGTCCACCACCATGCCTGGTCCCCGGTCTCCGACAGCACCCCCCGGGGAAAGCTGCGACGGTGTCCCCGCTCCGCAGAGCACGGTAAGTAGGAGACTTCGGTCTGAAGCTTCCTGGGAACCCACATACTAAGGGGATCGAGTATGGCAAGTCGCCACCCCAACGGGGACTAAAAATAGTCTCCAACTCAAAGACTATAATTTAGACCAGTGTATACCGATGGACCCAATTTTGGTTTATGCTGAAGTCTAAAAGAATATGTTCGTGGGAAGGTCTGGAAAAATCTGTACTGGAATGTTAACCATGATTAACGTAGGTATAGGAATTTTTATAGATTCTGTATTTTCACTATTTTTATCCATATTTTATATTTTTCTACAATGAGCATATATTGCTTTTTTTTAAGTTTTTAAAGAAATATTTATTTAGAAATCTCAAACTGAAGCCACATGGGGAAGAACATTTGTTAACCCTAAGAGTTAGTATATCCTATTCTAACCAAAAATCTAAACCTCTCCTCCAAAGTTGGAGGAAAGTCCTCCATCCTTTCCTAGTTTATTGTTTTTAGATCTTCCTCTAAGTACCAGGGGTAAATCATATTGGATATTGTGTTAAGTTCTCTCTAAGTGATTTTTAAAGTTCAATTAAAAAGAAACATTTAGTTGAGAAAAAAAATAAGTCTTCCTATTTTCGGGAACAGAAATCTCTGAATTTAGTTTACAATCAAGAATGATCATAGTTCCACATACAGAGACCCAGGCCATACTTACGGTGTTAGTTGATCGTAATTTGTTCAGTCGTTTACAAACGATGTTAAATTGAAATCAGCAAGTGCTTGCTGATGTTAAATTAATTTAACAGTTCTTAAAGGAAATGAAACTTCAATTCATTTAAGGAGTGGATTTCTTTCTTAAAGACAACCCCGTAATGTTTTACATGAAATGATATATCTTGGAGCAAAGGGAAGAAGGGATGAGAGGTTTAAATTTAGACCGCCCCAGCCATATTTAAAGGGGCCACAGGAGCGTTTGTTCTTGGCCCAGATTCAGGGCAGAAGTCGTCAGAGAGAACCCAACTGCCCGGCAAGAGACAAGGCAAAGGGTTTGTGTAGACACTGGGGACAACCAGAGCCCAACACTGACTGAAGTAGACCCACTGGGAATCTTCGATCTCAGCTGGCCTGTGTTCTCGGCAACAGAAGTTATAGGGGTTGTTTTACTTTGTAATCACATTTAGCAGCTGCCCTGTCCATTCAGACACTTGTTCAGGTGACAAGCATAGATCAAATGTATGCACAGGTAGGACCCTGGGTGGGCCAAACAGAGGAGCCCATGGCAGGTGGAGGAGCCCAGTGCAGAATCCCCGCAGGTTCAGTGATATCAGCACCCACCTGCAGGGTGCATGGGTGTAAGGGGAGCACATAGAGGAGACTTCCCACCTGGGGAATCAGGGAAGCTTCTAGAAGAGATGACCTGGGCCGCGTCTTATAGGATGCATCGGAATTTGCCAGGCAGAGAAGGACCTGCAGACAGGGGAGCACCTGCCACCAGCCTGGGTTGTGAAAGGAAGATGTGCCCAGGATGTGCTGCTGGAATGAAAAGCCTGCACTCCTGGTGATGAGAAACCGCTCTCCCGCAGGAGAATGAAAGGGTCAGATCTGTGTTTTAAATGATGATCTGGCAACAACTGAGGGTGCGAGCTGGAGGGAGTAGAGAGCAGAGGCAGGAACACCCACGGGTCTTCCTGTTCCCGCAGTAAGAGGAGCAGGAGAGACACGGGCCCGGATTGGGGCTGAGAGGATGGGAGCCTCGTGAGCTATTCTGGAGGCAGAAATCAACAAGGCTGGCTGTCAGGTTAGGGAGAGGGGGTGGGCGGCATAGGCCACTGCACGTGCACAAGCCTTTTGGGGGGAAAAGGTAGGTAAACTGATTACTAGCTAATAACTAGCTGCTCATTTGCAAAAAGAGAAAAACACTTGTTAAAGTTCATCTTATTTTTTTAAGGACCTCGTGCATGCTAAACACGCGCTCTCCCACGGAGCTATACCCTCCACCTGAGAGTTCAACTTTTTAAATCATCTAATATAAAAAAGCAAGAGTCATCTTTGGCCTATCATTTCAGCAGCACTCAGTTCAGATAAGCCTCTTTTAAGAATCTTCTAGACACTGTGTTCCCAATGTTTGAGTGGAAGCAAAAGTGGCCCAAATTTTTGCTTTTGTCTCTTTAAACAATTCCCGTGCTGAGGATAATGACCTCAAAATTTGGACAGTATCAGATTCTGGAAGAACAGATAGGTGGATGCAGAGGGCACATGGAAACCTGTCTGGTTTGAAAGAAAGAGCTGATTCGGCTCACTGACCTGCAGCGATGGCTCCACACACGCAGCCCCTCCCGTGCCCCCTCTGCCCCACAGGGTGGAGGGTTGGGGGAGAGCCTTGCTCCTTCTTGCTGTTTCTCTGTAATTATGAACTCTTATCTCTTCCTTTTCCGTTTAGTAGTTACATTTCTTTCCACTGTGCGGCAGCCTGGAATAATTATAAAAACAAAGGCTAGAGGGGAAGCTGCTGGAGGCCACCAAGGAAAAGGCCTGAGGCTCTAATTACTGCCTATGATGGGGCCCCTTCAGGGCTCTGCGGATGGAGAGGAAGGACCAGGGCATGCAGAATGGGGAGGGGGCTGCAGTACATCCATCCGGCCTCCGCTCTGGACAAAACACAGAACTCTTCTGTCATGAGTTGTCTTCTCTCTGATGCTGGTGAAGGCACATGGTGTTCTGCAGGGGTAAGGTCCAGCAGGAAGGAGTCTGACGGTTCCCAAGGGTGCCCCCAGGATGTTGTGTTCACGCGTCCTGTGGGTGGGATCCAGAGCCTCAAGAGCCTGGAAGATTAGGAATGGGATTGTTCTAGACCTTCTGTGCCATCTGTGCCCCAAGGGGACCTCCAGAGAAGTGGGTGTAGCGCCCTCCGGAGGAAGGAGCTAGAGTGAAATTATGGACGTGACCGCAGAGTTTGCTCTTAAGGCTGAACCCACAGCAGAACAAGTGTGGGCTCTTGGGGGACCCACGGGCACTGGCCTGGCCTTGGAAGAGGCGAGGAGCTGAATGCTGGGCTGTCTGTCCATCCACGGCTGGGGCAAGGTAGGCCTTCACGGAGCCCACAACCTCTTGTGACCTATGGCTGAGAAGCCAGCTGCCCTTGCATCTGTCTTGGTACCCATGGGCCACACAACCCACCTGCACGGTGTCCCACCCCCATCCTGTGGTCACCTTGTCATGACTGCCTGGTCTTTTGCCATTGTTCACACGAGAACCATCCAAGGATAATGCTGAGAATAAAAACTGTAAGGTCTCGATTTCACTGAGCACGTGCCGTGTGCCCGGCCCTGGGCCAAACCCTGGGCCCATGACTCATCACAGCAACCCTCTGATTTACATACTGACGGCTCAGTCAGGATGCTGGAGCACCCGGTCTTCTGAGTCCACGGTGGTCTCCGAACATCGGAGGAAGCATCGTTATTGTGCTGCAGAAAGCCTCACTCCCCGGGGGCTGGTGGACCAGGATCCACAGCTCCGACTGTCTCTGAGGTTGGTTCATGGGAGGTGGTGACAGCACTAGGTAAGAACCAGAGACCAGGAGGAGAGCAAAGCCCTTTGCACGAGGCAAAGAAGAAATTCCTAAGGGGTGATGACCAGGACAAATGCCACCTGAGGATGTCCCGGCAGCCATGCAGCACCGCCCGAAGCTCGTGCCCCATCCCCAGACTCCGACAGAGAAGAGGGTCTCTGTGTGTTGGACCCCAGAGGCTGGAGTACTGGCTCCATCCCACAGGGAGAAGCAGAGCCAGCTGAGATGGGAGTGGGGACACGGTGTCTATCCCAGCAACAGGGATTTAAGGAATTAGCCCTTTGGGAGCTCCCTCGGGAAGCCAAAGAGACAATCAGTGGGAGAAGAGCGAGCCTGTGTGGGCTGGTAGTCGTCTGAGACATGGGATGCTGAGGGGTGGAGCTGAGGACATGCACACAGTGCTGGCAGGGAGAGTCCCTGGGGAGAGTGAGGTGCCCTCACAGCACGGCCTGGGCCCCTCCCCCCCCCCCGGTTGTAGGCAGTCACTTGGGTCAGACCGTGACACATCCATTATTAGTCTTTACGAGCCAGACCACCATCCTGAAGCCAGGTCTGAGGTTGCACGTGGTCCTTGATCTGATTTCCAGCTTCGTCAGCCACCGTTCTACCAATGAGGTCCTGATGTCAGGCAGACTGTTCTACTTTTTACAACCACCCTGCTGGCTTGACTCCAGGAATTTGCTAGCTGTGACCTCAAGTGTACAGTTATTTGGAATGAAGAGTCAGTCCACAGTGACACCCCAATCTAAGTGTCTGTCATCATCACCCCAACATTTGGGGGCGCACTGTCAGCCCAGTGAGCCCGATTCCATGTGTCAGGGAGGGCCGCCTACAGATCTGGGCTGGTAGTCCTGTTGGGACCTGACTCCTTGTTAGCACACGTCGCAGCCGCTGAAATACCACTTCCATATGAGTAAAGGCCTGACATCACGATGACCACGGTTGCTAGGCGCTTGTCTGAAATCCAAGCATCACTGATTGAAATTCAGAAGCAGGCTCTGCTGCTTTAGATGGATCACTCCGCATGCACACCCAAAAGGGGAAGATCCCTCAGGCTGTCTTAGAAAGGAGGCCATATTTTGTCAAAGGCTTTCTGACTTGTGATTCCAACTGATTTCATAGTGATGCTAGGTGCCACCAGGGAAGTGTTGCTGGGTGACGTCCAGGAACATCTCTGCTCCCATCTCCCTGTCAATTCTCCAGGCATATGGAGCTCTGGAATTCCTGTTGGTGTGGACTCCAAGTGGCAGGGCGCTCACGAATTGTGGGACATGATCTTACAGTCCTACAAAGTTGGAGACACAACCGGGCCTGAGGACTCGCTGAGCTGCAGGCTGAAATTACACATACCTCCGCCTCCTCTGTAGGAAGCTGGTCTGTATTCACTGATTCTGCGTTGTCTGGTCAAATCTAAGGTCAATCTGATTCTCAAACTGTAACTTCATAGAAGGATCTGTGTGA